ACTTTGTGGTTGGGTCAAGATTTGGTTTGGTCTTGGTCCTTGGTTGGCACTTGCCAACATTTGGTCCTAAGGCCAACCAATCACAAGCTAGCAACATTGTGGGGTTCCCTACTCCACAAGGCAACTCACCCATTGGCCAACTTAGTGGCCAATAGGGTTGCACCTTCTTCCAACCTCTCTTCCTTGCATGCTTGTACTATAGAGCCTCCATGGCTCATTACTCAATCATTCTTGAATCCTATCAATGCGCCTACAGTAAGCCTCTGCTGCTGCTGCTGCTGCCGCCGCCGCTGCCGCCTGATGCTGTTTGCTGACGTTCTCATGTAACGGAACCCTCTCAGCAGCACACCTTCTTGTCTCATCTCACTGTTACCACAACCACCTTGTACTCTCATTCCTCCCCCTCCCTCCCGCTCCTCAACCCTCCCCTCCCCAACTCCTCCCCACCCCTCACTTCCCTCTTCTCCTCTCCCGCCTCTGCTCTCCACCGTGCCTCTCATCAGAGGATGCGTGCAAGGCAGCCCAGCGCAATCCGTGTGCGGTGGGGCAGTGTGTGAACGATGGGGCGGGGTCGTACTCGTGTGTGTGTCCACCGGGCTTCAGGCAGGGCACCACCATCGACGGCACCTTCTCCTGTGCTCTAGGTACCGTCACCTTTGCTCCAGGTAATTTTGCTGTGATTTTTTGGTGCCGTGAGGATGTTGTCTCTCATCTACTAGCATATAAGTACGTAGCTACCAGTTTCAGGCGAATTCTTGTGCCTTAGCAAGTGATATGCCGCCTAAGGGCACACTATAGGCGTGGACAAATGACGAGTCGTTACACTTGACTTGCCATGTGCGATGCGATCACACGTGTCTTGTTGTGGATATTGGCCTGCCCTTGACAGCGCTTGGTCAGGGCTGGGGCCAGGGCTGGTTCGCATGTATGGTCTAAGCAATCGCACATGCACTAACATTGAAGTTTATTGCTACGGAAGAAGAGGAGGGGCTGAGTGTGTCAGCGGCACCAAGCCAAGCAGGGGAACAATTGAATCTGTAGGCTGCTTCACCAATTGAGAAACGAGAACAAGTAGAGTTTCACGCACATTTGCAACACATTTGGTACTGATTCGCCCACAACCTATACATTGGTTGTGTAACTATGTCAAGTTCTGAAAGAATGATTCATAGTACGCAACACATATTAACCAAAAAAAAAAAAACAAAAACAAAACAAAACAAACAAACAAACAAGCAAACAAACAACACAGAACAGAACAATACAAAACAAAACAACACAGAACATAACAATACAAAACAAAACAAAACAGAACAGAACAAAACAGAACAAAACAAAACAATACAAAACAAAACAGAACAGAACAGAACTAAAAAAAACAGAGCTGTCACACATACTTAGGACTAAATCCCACAGGCACGAAACAAATACAGTCACACATACTTAGGACTAAATCCCAGAGGCCCAAAACATAAATAACATACATGCAAGCAAACATAGAACCAACTTAGGTCCCAGTAGCCATGCATGCGAACACGAGGTGCTCTGCGTGCCTCCTCCTTCTTTGTTGCATCCTGTGCTGCCTGCTGTGCTGTGTGCTGTGGTGCATGTTGTATTGCATGCTGTGTTGCATGCTGTGCGGCATGCTGTGCTGTGTGCTGTGCTGCATGCTGTGTTGCATGCAGGTGACACCAGCAACACCTACACCGTGCTCTCTCCCAACGTCCGGTGCTCCGATGTCTTCCCCGTCTACGGCCTCACGCTCGCCCAGTTCCAAGCCCAGAACGTGCGTCTCGTGTTAATAATTCTCAACAATGATGCAAGCAGACCCGGAACGTGCATCTCCTGGCATCTCCTGCACCCTTTAAGAAATCTCAAAACCCAGTTGATATTTCTCAACAATGATGCAAGCGGACCCAGAACGTGCATCTCCTGGCCCCGCATTTCACCAGCTGTTGTGTTCCCTGTCTTTTTTTCATCCAGCTCACATGCAAGCTCATGCCTCCCCATGCCTGCTTGGGTGTGTGCTGTGTCTCTCATGCCCCTTCCTCGGTGCATGCAGCCTTCGGTGTCGTGTGCAGCACCCATCCCACCCAACACTGTTCTCAAAGTGGCCAGCCCAGCCTCTCTCACCCCCTGCTCCGTCTTCTACACCACTCAGCAGGTTCCCACCTCACACCCTTTCTGCCAACGCACCATCTTCCCCATCTACCTCTATCTGACCTTCCTTCCATGTCATTCTGTTCCACTCCCCATCCTTCCTTCCTCCATCTCACTGCAGCTTCCATTTTCTGACCGCACTTTGAATGTTGCTCTCACCTCACTTCATTTCACGTATTGGAGCTCTCACACTCTCTCACTCCTGGTTCCCATGCGTCCTACCTCCTCCCTGATCACCCTGTTCTCAGGGTGACACCTGTGCGACACTAGGAGGGTACTTTGGAATAGACTTCCAGGCACTCAACCCCAGCTTGGGCTGCACGTCCAATGAAGGGGTGCTGCAGCCGGAGCAGGCAGTGTGTGTGGAGCGCTATAGCGATAATGTGGGGCTCATCCCGGTGTGCTCGCAGTACTACCTGGTGCAGAGCGCAGAGACGTGCGAGTCCATCCGCAACGTGCCCTACCCCCCTCTGGACCGTGTTGATTTCTTCCGCCTCAACCCCGGCATCAAGTGCAACCGCCTCATTCCAAACACCGACGTCAATGGCTTCACTGGCTTTGAGGTGTGTGTGCCGCGCTGGCTCTGCTCATGCCTCTCTGCCCTTCGTTGTGGACCAACCTTCCTTACTCCTTCATTGATTGGTCTTGCTCACACTTCCTACCTAGCTGGTTCTCTCGTGACTGCTCATTTTACGCTTTTTTTTTTCTTCATTCCTCCATTTCGCTTGCCATCCCCCCCAGGCATGCATTGCGAGCTCCATGTCGTACACGCAGGGCACGTGCCCGCGTGCGAATGCGTATGTGGTGGGGACAGGCGACAGGTGCACGGCCATTCAGATGAAGTACTTCCGGGGCATCAAGGGCTGCTACAAGCACATCAACGGATACGACTGCATCGACAAGCTCATCAAAGCAACCCGCGTGTGCCTGCCCGACAAAGTCAAGCTTCAGCAAGGAGTCTGCGACAACTGACCTCAGCCTGCCGCCGCATCTGATGTGATGGTTACGTTTGGCTGGATACCAACGTTCTGTGGCAGATACCACTATGTTACAAATGTCCACTTAAGAGTGTACTGTAATCCCCCTCGATAGACGCCCTGGGTGGCTTATACTGCCATTGTCTGTATAGAGAATGTGGAATTGATGACATAGGTGTCTTAAAACTGGTGTTTTCTTATAATCGGAACTTCTGATGATATGATACCCCTCTGCGTGTACGACATATGACCCCTTCCCTGGGTACAGAATTACAATGTTTCTAAAGCTTAAAGCCCGGGGTCAGCATGGTAAATTTCCAAGTTACGGTATGTGAGGTTGAAATAGTACAAAACGAGGGTGTGCGAAACCTATTTCGGTTGTGTGGCTTTGGCGATATCAAGATTCCTCCGCGAGCAAGTAAACATTTCGCGCACACCCTAACTGCGATTCCCACCAACCCAATGCGAAAAGTGTGTCGCATGAAGAGATTCTTCAGCCAATCTGAAGGTTTCACACATGTCGCTACCGTTACGACTGAACAAAGCGTGCCGGTACTGCTCGTCTCCTCCCCCCACTGATTCAACTCGATGCTAAGGGGAAATAGATACAGAGCGACGCACATGCTATTTTCAACGCCACCTAATCAGACAGGTATCGGTAGCGCCAGATGCCGGCGAAGGAAACGTTTTTTAGAAGGAACTTGTCACTTCAAGATGCTAGCTGTAGTACAGTCGTGACGATGTTCTAGAACTCTGCAGATAGAAACGCGCAACGGGCGGGGACCAGAGCGCTCACCGGTCGAAGGAGCGGACCGCGCACCGGTCGAGGGTATAGTTGCTCGCTCTTGCGACGGTCAGCACCGGCGACGAGCAGCGCCCGCTCCGTGCGTCTAGCAGCGCGCGCTCCCTGCGACGCGCAACGCACGATCCTTGCGTCGCGCAGCGCGTGCTCCGGGCGGCGCGCAGCGCGCGTACCGAGCGACGGGCAGCGCGCGGTCCTGGGTGCAAGGAAGGGGATGAGGCGCAGAAAGGGAATGATGCGCGGAAGGGGATGAAGCGCGGAAGGGGATGAAGCGCGGAAGGGGATGAAGCGCGGAAGGGGATGAGGCGCGGAAGGGTACCCTCAAATTTTATACTTGTGTCAAATTTTGTACCCCAAGGTACCCTCAAATTTTTTACTAGGTATATGTACCCCAACCCACATCAATGCAAACACAATTCAATTCTTGAAGTGGTATCACATAGGCTAGGTTCCTCTTAAATCTCGTTCGTTACGCTTTAGCCGACCACGCCTGTAGTGCCGATCGCGCCCGACCACGCCTGTAGCGCCTATCGTGCCCCCCCCCCTCTCCCCCCCCGTCCCATCTTGTAGTGTCCCGTCCCGCCGCGTTTGCCAGTCCCGTCCGTTGCGTCCCTTCCCATCCCGTCGCATCCCGTTGCGTCCCTTCAAATCTGCTGGCAGCGTGCTTGCGCCAACGCCCTGCCTGTCGTGTTGGTTTCTGGCCCCGTCCCGTCCGCGCCTTCCGCGCGCCTGTCGCGTAACTGCCGTCCGCGCCTGTTCCGCCCGCTACGCACCTGCCGTCCGCGCCTGCCGCACCCGCCGAGCGCCTGCTGCCGTCCGCGCCTGCCGTCCGTGCCTGCCGCGCCCGCCGCGCCTGCCGCGCCTACCGCGCTCGCCGCGTCTGTCCCGTCCGCGCCCGTCGCGCTAGCTGCGACCGTCGCACCTGCCTTGTCCGTACCCGCCTTCCGTCCTCGCTCGTCCGCGTCTGTCACACATTCGCGCCCTGCCTGTTCGTGCCCATCGTTCCTTACGCATTGACCGTCGCGTGCGCTGCGCCCTGCCCGTCCAGTTACTCTTCTGCTATGACGACCCCTAGGGTCCTGCGCTTTGACGCCGAGGGTAGGCCGCTCGAGTTCTCGGTCTGGCTCCTGCGTGCGCTGCCTTTTAGAGAGTCAGGTTCAGGCAGATGTGTCTCTATGGGCACACGCTTCTGGCGACCTTCCTAAGTCTGACGACCCTGCTCCCGTAGGCACTGACGCTAGCTCTACAGACAGAGACCGTTTTGCCCGCCAGCGTGCTGACCTCTCAGCGTGGACGTCGCGTGACGCTGCGGCCTGCATCGCCCTCAGCAGCCTCCTCCCTGAGTCTGAGGAGGCCCACTTCACTCAGGTTCGCACGGCTAGTGAGTTCCTGACTGCGATCAAGGCCCGCTACGCTACTCCCACCACTGTCTCTCTTGGTCGCCTGTTCCTCCCGTTCCTGTTTCCTGACCTCGCCTCGTTTGAGCGCTCTGCTGACTTGATTGCTCACCTCCGCTCGCTCGATTCTAGCTACCGCGCTGCCTGCACTGACGCACAGCTTGCACTGCTCCCTCCCCCCATGGCGATTACTATCTATTTCATCGCCACTAGCCTCCCTGACCGCCTCGCCTCGGTTCGTGCCGCGCTTCTTTTGAAGCAACCTAGCGAGCTCACTATTAAGGTCCTTGAGTCTGCCCTCAAGGACGTCGAGAGCAACCTCCGCTCGGTAGCCTCCGCCTCTGGCGCTGTGCCCCCTCCACTGTTTCACGGGTACACTGTCCCTCAGCTGCCTAACTTTACTGCCTCCCTCGCCACTGCTGCTACTGACGTGACCGCAGCTGCTGTTATGAGTTCTTCGCGGTCTAGGGGTAGGAGTGGCAGGAGGGGCGGTCAGGGTGCGGGCGGTGGCGGCGGAGGCGGCGGAGGTGGCGTGGCGAGCGGCGGTGGCGGGAGTGCAGGAGTTGGAGGAGCACCTCGTCCAGCCACTAGTGTCTCCCCTGCTGCAGCTGGTGGAGGTGATGCTAGGGTACGTCAGGCACCTGCTGGACTGCCAGCTGCATGTGCTGGAGTGGTGGCTTGGTACCTGACTTGGCGACAGCAGCAGCAGCAGCCACTCCTCTCGCAGCAGCCGCAGCAGCAGCAGAGGTAGCAGCAGGTGCCGGAGCAGGGGTCAGGACCGCGTCAGTTGTCGCGCGGTGCCGTCCACTCGAGTGTTGTTAGCTTAGGTGCTAGTGTTGCTGAGGTGCCTGTTGCTAGTGTAGGTACTGGTTTCGACACTAGTCCAGGAGCTGCTCAGGAGGACACTTCGCTGACTTTCACTGTGGACTTCAGAGCTTCGCACTGTTTCTTCCGCGACCACACGACGCTTACTCCGCTTCCTGCGCCGGTCTCTGTAGCACTGGCTGATCCCACTTCGGGACCAGTCACTGCTCGCTACACTACTACGCTTCCGTGCCCGGCTGTTCCTCCAATTCTCTGACCGGCTTCCACGTCCCCTCGTTCTCGAGGAACTTGGTGGGTGTGAGGCTGCTCGTGAGTCAGCACGTGGGTGTGTGGATTGAGCCTTCTGGCGAGACTGCGGTTTGTGTCGACGGGGACACGTACGTGCCTCTCGCCACCTTTACCGTTGAGCCGGTCTCTGGCCGCTACACACTCTAGACTGGCTCCCGAGGGCAGCAGCAGCAGCAGCAGCAGCAGCAGCAGAAGCAGCAGCAGCAGCAGCAGCAGCAGCAGCAGCAGCAGCAGCAGCAGCAGCAGCAGCAGCAGCAGCAGCAGCATCAGCAACAGCGGCAGTCGCAGCAGCAGCCGCGGCAGCCACGGCAGCAGCTGCCCCCGCCACCCGTCACAGCCCTCCGTCAGGTCCCCGCATCTCACCAGGTAGCCGCCTCCCCCCAGGTAGCTGTGTCTGGTAGGGTTCCAGTGTCTGGTCCGGTTGCTGTGTCTTTCTCATGTCGAGCGCTTGCCCACCCCACCGTTCTGTACCACCACCGCCTTGGTCACCCGTCCCTCCCTCGCCTCCGCACTATCTCTAGTCAGGGTCTCGTCTTAGGCCTCCCGCGAGTCCTTCCGTCGCTGTCGCTTTCGCGTGCACCACCTTGTGCCCCTTGCGTCGAGGGTCGGCTGCGTGCCACCCCTCACTCCTCCTCCCTTCGTCCGGCCATTGAGCCCTTTCAGACTCTTCACTTGGACGTCTGGGGCCTCGCTTCGCGCGCTGACCTTGAGCGAGAGAGTTTCTTTTTGGTGGTCGTTGACGACTACTCCCGCTACACCACAGTGTTCCCCTTGGCGAATAAGTCCGAGGTCACTTCTACGCTGAACAGGTGGTTACTCACCACGGAGGACACTCGTGGTCGTCGTGTCAGTTGTCTTCACTCCGACCGTGGGGGTGAGTTTCGCTCCGGCATTCTCGCTGGATTCTGTCGCGAGCAGGGCATTCCTGGACGCTTCTAGAGTCCCCACAGCAGAATTGGGTTGTTGAGAGACGCATAGGCTTGGTCATGGATATCGCACGCACCTCCATGATTCACGCCCGTGCGCCCCATTTTCTGTGGCCCTATGCGGTTCGGTACGCCGCTCACCACCTGAACCTCTGGCCACGTTGTTAAACTGTATTATGCTTGTAGGCTGTAGTGGGGTAGCCAATATGGGGTACAACCCCAACTAGGGTTTCATATTTGTACCCAAACTTCTGTTAGTTCATTCATTCTTGCCTAGTTATTCTGAGATGGTATTCAGAGCAGGAGGTCCCTAGGACCTACCGACCGTTTTTTTTAAGGGCCCACCACCGCTCGCATGCGGTTACCACGCTACCCCGTGCCCTAGCCTCGTAGCGCCCTCGTGCGCCCTCGTTAGCGCCCTCGCGCGCCCCTCGTTAGCGCCCTCGCGCGCACCCTCGTTAGCGCCCTCGCGCGCCCCTTCGTTAGCGCCCTCGCGCGCCCCTTCGTTAGCGCCCTCGCGCGCCCCTTGCTAGCGCCCTCGCGCGCCCCTCACTTGCGCCCCTCGCCGAGCCGCCCGCTCGCAGCCCGCCCGCCCGCTCGCTGCCCGCTTCGCGGCCCGCTCGCTACGCAGCCCGCCCGCCCGCTCGCTGCCCGCTTCGCGGCCCGCCCGCTTCGCAGCCCGCTCGCTCGCTGCCCGCTTCGCGGCCCGCCCGCTTCGCAGCCCGCTCGCTCGCTGCCCGCTTCGCGGCCCGCCCACTTCGCAGCCCGCCCGCCCGCTCGCTGCCCGCTTCGCGGCCCGCCCGCCTCGCAGCCCGCTCGCCCCGCTGCCCGCTTCGCGGCCCGCCCACTTCGCAGCCCGCCCGCCCGCTAGCTGCCCACTTCGCGGCCCGCCCGCTTCGCAGCCCGCTCGCCCCGCTGCCCGCTTCGCAGCCCGCCCGCCCGCCCGCTGCCCGCTTCGCGGCCCGCCCGCCTCGCAGCCCGCTCGCCCCGCTGCCCGCTTCGCAGCCCGCCCACTTCGCAGCCCGCCCGCCCGCTAGCTGCCCGCTTCGCGGCCCGCCCGCTTCGCTGCCCGCTCGCAGCGCCGCCCGCTCGCCCGCTACCTGCTTCGCAGCGCCGCCCGCTGCCTCACTGCCCGCTTGCTGCGTCGCCCGCCCACACCGCTGCCCGCTTCGCAGCCCGCCGCGCTTCTCACCTGCTGCTCCCTGCCTGTGCACTGCCGCTTTCTCCTGCTGTGGCTACTAGCTTCGCTCTAGCGTGTCCCCTCTGCTGCTGCCGCTGCTCTGCTGTGCCCTCACGCCTGAGCTATGGCCTCTATTCGCGTTCTTTCCTTCGATGCTGAGGGCCGTCCCGTGCAGTTCACTTCCTGGCTCGACGACCTGCAGTTGTATCTTATGAGCAATAGCACGGACCACATCTCCCTCTATGACTACGCGTCTGGTGCTGCCGCTGCTCCTGCTGCCACAGCCGAGCTTAGTGTTCGTTCCCACTGGCAGACTCGTGACGCAGCTGCTCGCCTAGCCATTCGCAGTCACCTCCCGCTAGCTGAGCTCGAGCATTTTGGCGACTGCAAATCCGCTAAGGCCCTGTACGATGCTGTCGTCGCTCGCTACTCCTCGCCTGCCACAGCCGAGCTTAGCCGCCTCATGCTGCCGTACCTGTTCCCCGATCTGTCCACCTTTACTACAGTCGCCGATCTTATCACCCACCTTCGCACTAGTGATGCTCGCCTGCGTGCCGCCCTTCCCACCGAGTTCTGCGCTAAGAACCCCCCTCCACTGTACTGGACACTCCACTTCATAGTCACCCGTCTCCCTGACACCCTCCGCTCAGTTCGAGACCACTTCCTTGCTCGCTGTCCCACTGAGCTCACAGTCGCCCTCCTAGAGGAGCACCTGCTCGCGGCCGAAAAGAGCATTGTAGCTGTCGGTGCTGCTCGTGGCGCTCCTCGCACCCCCATCTTTGAGGGGTGTTCTCCCTCTCCCCTCGCTCCCTCCTACGCTGCTGCTGCTGCTGTTGACTTCCTTGGTGCTGAGTCTGTTGGCGCTGCTTCTACTCCTGGTGGGAGGCGCCGCACCGGCAAGGGCAAGGGGGGCAAAAGTGGTGGTGGTGGCGCTGGGGGGGGAGGAGGTGGGGGAGGTGGGGGGGGAGGCGGTGCTGGAGGGAGCGGTGGCGGGAGCGCTGGTGGGAGTGGGGTCGGTGGTGGAGGCGGGGGCGGCGGAGGAAGCAGTGGCAGTAGTGGCGGCGGCGGCGGTGGCGGCGGTGGCGGTGGTGGCGGTGGTGGCAGTGGCGGTCGGAGCGGTGGTAGTGGTGGCGGCGGAGGTCGGAGTGGAGGCACTGGCTCGGGCCAGAGCTCCCAGCAGCAGCAGCGTCCCCAGACGACCCAGCAGCTTCGTGAGTGGCTTGCTCAGCGTGGGACGTCGGGGGCCAGTGCCCGCTGTTCTTATGTCATTCGCACAGGTGACCGCAAGGGACAGACGTGTGGGAGGTTCCACACCCCGTACCGCTGCTTCTCCCGCCTTGACGACGCTTGGCGTGAGGAGATGGGTGCGGATGTTGAGCGCCCCCGCTGGGCTGAGCTCATGAGGGCTGGTGTTGATGTCTTTGCTCTTGACTATGATGCTATTATTGTTGCCATGTATGCATTGACTGTTAGTGCCGAGGGAGACTGTTACTTGTGTGTGCCGCCTGACCCAGGTATAGAGCCCGCTGCCCTGGGTACTAGTGAGTCTGCTCTCTCTGGTATGGTGCCCCCTGTACTTGCTCCCCCCAGTGCTGTCCCGGCTGGTTTCGAGTCTGCTCTCTCAGGTACAGCACCCACAGAGACTGCTCTCTCAGGTACCGCACCGGCTGAGGCTTGTCACACCTTCACCCTTGACTCAGGTGCTTCCCGTTGCTTCTTCCGTGACAGTACTGAGCTCACACCGCTTCCTGCACCGGTCCCAGTCTCCTTGGCTGACCCCTCTGGGGGCCCAGTCCTTGCCCAGTCCACCACTGTCCTCCCTTGTCCGGCGGTTCCGTCTGGCTCGTTGTCGGGTTTCCACCTCCCCTCGTTCTCGACGAACCTGGTGAGCAACGCTGTCCTCCAGGATCAGTGGGTTGACACCTTTACCCCTGGCGGACAGCGTGTGGCGATCTGCACGTGCTCCAGGACCGGCCGTCACCTGGCTACGTTTACCCGTCGGCCGGGGTCGAGTCTCTACACACTGACCACTGCGTCTCCTCAGGTAGCTGCTGTCGGTCAGGTGTCTGCGTCAGGTCTGGTAGCCCACGCCTGTGAGTGTCGTTCCCTGTCGCACCAGACTCTTCTCTGGCACCACCGCCTGGGTCACCCCTCCTTGCCACGCCTTCGTGGCATGCACCGTCGCCACCTTGTGTCCGGTCTTCCCAGGTCCCTCCCTCCCCTCCCTGCCTCGCCTGCGCCGCCTTGCCTTCCTTGCGTCGAGGGGCGGCAGCGCGCCGCTCCTCACTCCTCCTCGTTCCCCCCGACAGAGGCTCCTCTGCAAACCCTCCACCTGGACGTGTGGGGCCCAGCCCGCGTTCGTGGTCAGGGCGGTGAGCGGTACTTTTTGCTGGTTGTCGACGACTACTCGCGTTACACCACGGTCTTCCCCTTGCGCACCAAGGGTGAGGTCCCTGCTGTTCTGATCCCTTGGATCCGCACGGTTCGTCTCCAGCTCCGCCGCCGTTTCCGGACGGATCTTCCTGTCCTGCG